ATACTTTTACGCTAGCAATTTTAAACAGAATAATTAATTTTGCAGAATTTTACATATCAGCTGAAGTTTTTGATCTTAGTCGTACATTCTTTTGTATAACGGGCCCCTGTTTCGGACAGGACTGTAAGAGTTGGTCGTCCAAGAAGTACATTATTATTGCACATTATCATCTTTCGGAAGATAAATCATTAATTCAATATCCGCAATAATTCTTTGAGAGAGCAACTTGCTTATTTACGTTTTAACGTATTTAACATTCTTCTTTGCTCTCTCAAAGAAGCAAAGTAGCTTCTTTGAGAGAGCAACTTGCTTATTTTAAAAGCCGGATCTCCGATATGAGTAAAAACCAGTAGAGCCACAGCCCCGTTCAATTCAACATATCCGCATAATTTATTGATCTTTTAACTGTTGCTTTCATTTAAATGATTGACGCATGCATTAATTCTTCAAAAATAAGAGTTGTAAATATCTGTTCAGTTACATTCAGAAATCAACAAATCATTTATAACTCTATAAATTAATCTTTGCGGGCAATAATATCCCCGCATTGTTGCACGCAGCAGTTGAATTGATGAAGGCACTAATTTCTTTGATGCATACGTCAATACCATTATTGTGCACAATATCCAAATTAATGATATCTTCAAATAATTATAAATATTTTAAGTTCAGTTTAAATATTAATTTGGCGCTCCATAAAATTAAATGCAATCTTCGTCATATTAATTTTTGTTGAAATTATTTATTAAATACTTACACATCTACATATATGCTGGGAATTATTGTGGCCAACTTCTTGTATTTTTAAAGTTTCACAATTATCTAATCTGTTTATTATCTTTCCCCAAAACTATTCTCTATTTCGTTTTGTCCCATGACTGTGCTTTTAGCAACGCATTGTTTGCTTTTTCGGTTTTTGCTACCCTGGACATTCGGTTTCCCTCGTCTTTCATTCGGAAGCGTCGTGTTGCTAGCTGACGTCATTTTATGGAGAAAGTGCACGATATTTTCCGATTTCAATAGAGATTTAAAATTACTGACATATTTTGGTAGGTAAAAAAGATTACTACATTGCTATAACTTATTTCATAGATATATTTCTGCTACAGTATGTAGCATAGCAAATGTTTTTCACCATCCACTGTTCAAATGACAGGGAACAAGGTAAACTATATAGGCACTGAAGTTAACCCGAAGTTCCTAAGTCTCAAATCTTCTTAGTAGGTGTCAAGTCTTACGGGCTTAGTGTTCTGTCAGGAGAAATAGAAGTATGATATAAGGGGGAACACAAACTTTTTATTAAAGATAAGACATAAATTGAAATAAAAATTTAGTGTGCATGCATTATACATTTGAAAACAAGAGTAGTTGGTCAAAATTTCACATTTGAGATGAAACAACAAAGTCTTAAAGATTTTTTTACATTAAATATAACCAAGACAACTACAGATATAATAAAACTACATGTACTGCATCGATGTGTCATTTATATATACAACATTTGTTCCAAACTCTTAGTACAAGTGAAATAACATTTAGCAGGTTGGGACCAATCGCCCAAATGGGATATAATAACCCGTCTTAGATATAATATCCCAAATGGGTACTTGGGCTATAAATATCATAAATCCACTTCAAAATATTTAAAAAGGAATAAATTTTGACAAGCAAGTTTTTCTGCAACCCTACGGGTCGTTAGATTGATCCCCAAGAAGTTTAGGAACTTCCGAGGAATCAATCTCCTAAAAAGTGGACATAGAGAAAAACTTGTTAACCAAAAATTATTCCTTTATAAGTATCTTGATGCGGATTTATGATATTTATATAGCCAAAATAAAAATTTTCATTTCTTGCACTGTAAATTTATATCCATTTGGGATATATCCCTTACGGGCTATTATATCCCATTTGGGCGATTGGTCCCAACCTGTTTAGCACAAATTAACTTATTTAATGCACCAATAGTTGCAGTCATAAATTAGTGCTCTCACTCTCTTCTGCTCTTCAGCTAAATGTTGTGAATACATCAGTTTTGGCCAAATATCATGAAATACTAATTACTTTAGGGAAATAAATATAGCAAAAGTGGGGGAAAAAACAGTATCTGACTAAAAAAAAAGTTGTTGACTGTACAGTGTGAGAGGTAGTCTACTACAGTCATTCCAACAAGCAAGGGTGGCTTACATTGATGGTTAAGGCAATTAATTTAGTTAATTTTTGCCAGCCTGTCTAAGTTCTATTAAACATGGACCTTGACATTTTGAAGATGCCACAAGCCTGAGGACTAAAAGTCAGTTGTTTTTGAAGCCTGCAAACTTTTGACTCCTTAGTCCTAGAGTTAATGTCACTGAATGTTTATTGTTCATATAAAAATCTGAAAAAGAAAGATTTAAAGTGTGGATATTATATTTTTTTTTACATGAATTGAAAGGATAAAAATAAATGAAACATCAATGAGATTTTGATATGCATTATACGTACTGGAGATACATTTTTATGGTGGTCATAATTGCTACAATATATGTGCTGCACAACATGAAATTAATCTCTTTCCTGATAGCATAGAATATAATCTCTTGTTTATGATCGGCATAAAATCTGTTTTTTTACGCAGTCTTACAGACTCACAGTTGATGTATTATCTGTGTTTTTTTTCTTTTTTGCGCAGTCTTCCAGATCTAGACTCGCAGTTGATGATGATATTATGACTTCTCTCTCTCAATCTTCATTAATTACAAACACCTCCAGTAAAGAGAGGGTTAAAGAAAATAGAATGTGATCTATTTTTTATGTTTTTGTTATGTTTGATAAGAAAGAAAAAAAAATTATGGAATGAGTTCATTGACAGACAAAGATGCATGAGCCTGAAAGTTATTAGTACATGTATTTATACAGATAAATTAGTCTTCTTAATTGCTGTCAGATTCATGTATCTTTAAGTGACCTCTTTGTTGTCTAAAGTGTATATATTCATTATATTACATGAGCTTCATTTTCAAAGAAAAAAAGATGTGCATTTTTATATAATGAAGAAGTTTTTTTATTGTTAAAAATTCATTCTCGACCATAGATAGCCTATCAGGGGTAAAATTAGGATTTCTGCTTAGTAGGGTGAACATTCAAATTTTATTTTGATTTTTTTTTTGACAAACAAAACAAAAAAAAAAGATATTGATTAAAGTGTCAGTGGTACCTGAATTGTTTTGATAGATTTTAATGCTACATGCATAATGAGTTAAGAATGGACTGAAATGTACCAGGTTTTTAATTCTTTTTTATGAGGAATATACATATATACCCATATTTTAAAGTAAATAAAAAAATGGGTCAAAGTTTGAGGGCATGACCCTCCAACTTACACAATTATCACAGCTGTCCTCTGAGGAGGTGCCCCCCCCCCTCCCCCCCCCCCCCCCCCCCCCCGGACTGTGGATGTAAGATCATTTGATCATGTGATTTATCCTTTTATTCATGTTATTATAGCATGTGTAGTGTTAGAGTTCAGTTGAATTTATATTTTTGTTGAAATTTATGTATAATATATATTATTACGGTATATCATATCATATCATGTCATATATCATATCATATCACATCATGACATCAACAGTAAAATCCTATCACTATAAAGTCAACATTTCCAATGTTGAATTTAACGATTTGGAACTTAACGCATAAAAGCATATCAGATATTGCATAGATTTAACAAGAATTTAAATGGACTTTTGCTGTCAGAAAGTCACTAGACCTCTCTGGGCTTTATTTTGTTTATCAAAAAACCCCAAAATAATCAAGGTGATTCAAATAATGGATCAATTCATTTTATATTTATTTTACAGAAAAGTTGAAGGAATGCAGATTGAAATAGTCTCATTTACAGTCTAAGTAAACAAATTTATTTAATAGTGTCTTAAAGTTTCATTAATTTCTGAATTATGAACATGATGACTTTTTTGAAAAAAGTATCTCTTTGTAATGCTTACTGAAAATACATTTATTGGGTGTGCAGTGATTGTGTTTTGATGATTGCTTGAAATAACAGTGACTGACAATGTGTCAAAAATTTGTCAAAATATGAGGTAAGGTGTCATTTTATCAGCTAGTACATCTATTTTCTTAGATTTATGCTATAATATTCATTCTGTTGGCTGGGCCATAATTTAAAAAATACGTTATTGTTCCACACTCCATACAAACAAGGGGTCATTACATTCACGATGACAGTGCATGGTTACATACCGGGTAGCTAATATGTAGAGCTATGATCTTGAATGGTGCGCTAATATACCTTGGGATAAAAAGCATTAATTCGTACAGTGTGTTCAGTAAGCCTAGATATCTAGCTAAGCCAAGCACCTAGACTAACTGCTATGATTTTGAACACAGCCCTGCCATTTGGTCCCATAGTAGTAAATGTCGGCATTGTTTTTGTCAGAAATCTTTTGACAAAGAGAGGTAACCTCAGTGATTCATACAATACTGGTGTACATTGTCTCATTTCATTCTGCAGTATAATCGATAATGCATTTTCCGATCAATTTCTATTCTTCTGGAAATTCAATAACAAAAAAACCTTGAAATGAAGAGATATTGCCGATAAACTTTGGTATACTTGAGCCCTATGTCTTGAATAGATATTACCTAACTCAAATGTAAGTTTTTAAATACAATGCTGTCCCCCAAGATGCCTTGATAGATATCCCAGAAGTGTAAGGGCCTTTAAATTAAATCCCAACATGTAGATATGTCTGTGTGTTTTGGCATTATGTGTTTTGTAAGCAATGCTTTGTCATTTAGTACTTGATAACCATTTGATATTTACATAGAACATAGTCAAATTAAAGGCCTTACTTTAGAATTCTTTTTCTGTTTCTTCTCAGATCAAACCAATGGTAGTAGTTGCAAGGTTTTACGCATTGAGATATCATAGAGTTTTTTCAAAAGTGAAATGATTTTGAGGATGTAAGCTGTGTTGCTGGACCAAGTATATTGAAGAAAGTGAAATCATGATGCGGGGTTTACACCCTTCTAATGCAGGGGAACTCCCTATGACCCGGAATATGCCATTTTCTACAAAAACCATGCCTAGCAAGACACACAACCGCAATATGACTGGAATCTATTTGGGTCTTGTAAGTATCATGCAAATTATTTAAACTATATACCAACTTTCTTCCATTTACCATATTGTATGTGGAATATTTCAAATTGCAAAGCTCAATCAATTAAGTTATATCTATTAGTCATTTATTGTTTCTAAGATGTAAAAAAAAAAAAAATTGAAGAATATATATATTCATTTATGATACTAAATGCTGTTTTCCTCAATAACACAGAACTCACAAATGTTGCATGATCATGTACAAAATACATTGGTTGCACTATCTATCCTTAGGTTTTTTTCTTTGTAAAAAAGATATGAATGAAAATGAAGAAAACTTCCCCTTGGTATTATTATTTTGGTTCCAAAATCAGATATTTCTAGATATAGTGAAAGTATTGTGTAAATGTATTTGCAAATACTTGACTTGTGTTTTCATTAAATTTCTTGTGTTTAAAGTCAGGAGCAATTGTATTTGTTCAGAACTTCACAAGACCTGAAATTCACGAAAACATTTTAAGTAGTCATACAAACATTTTACTTATTTTCCATGACAAGATTAGATTTAAAAAAAAAACACTATTCATTTTTCAATGGAATATTTAGCAAACAAGTAAAGTTAACATTTTTAACCTAACAAACCTCCAGTTTTTTAATGCAGAAAGTAATTAATCAAAGTGAAAAATCATGAGAAAAAATTTTATTTGATTTTTGTGAGTACGTTGTCTCTAATCAAGAAATGCAATATATCTACAGTCAGAGTAGCAATGTCACGACATAAATGTGTGCACAGGGTGCAATATATATCTATAATCCTTGTTTGGTGACATGCAGGTGCCTTATTTACTGCAATAATGGCCATTGAATCCCGAGATAAATGTGTCATAAACGTCTTTTTGATTTATCAGGCTACCAGGTCTTGAGCCACTTTGAAGAAAATCTTTTATTTCTTTTTAAGGCCTGTGTCATTTTATATTGGCAAGTTGTCATTTGTTTGTTATTAACATATGTGTGAACAAAGTCAGCCACGACTTAAAAGGCAAGAAAATACACCGCTATCTTGCCAACAATGATATGATAGCTAGATACTGTCATGAAAATATTTTGGTGCGAAGTTCTCAATTTACCTGTAATGTGAAAGTTAATACATGGAAGTCTTAATAAAGATTTGAAAATATAATTAGTAATTTTTTTGTTGTATATTTTAGTCTTCAGACCATGCAGAGTTTACAGACATGTAATTAAGACATGCTTAAATTTATTTTGATGATGATAAGATTTAAAGAATGAAATTCTCTGTAGTACTCTACAGTATTCGTTTATTGAAGAATTTATGTTTCACAAGTGATTTTGTATCATATAAAAGACAAGAGCAAAATTTTTAATGTGACATATGATTTAACCAGCATTAATGGACTGCTTTAAGTACAGAACAAATTGTAGAAATGAATATTTATTCTTTGTTAAATAGGAAGGCAACATTAAACCTCCAGCTTCAAGATCACCAAATGTCCCAGTTATAGCCCGGGGGAGAGGGATGTCCCAGAGGATCAGAACCCCAACAGAGCAGAGACGATATGTAAGTGAGGGATACTGTTATGAAAGAAAGTGTTATATTCAGTAAAGAGTAGACTCTATATTCTCCATATAGAGAAACAGTCAGTGCTCTGCATCGGGCAATATTTCATCCCTTAGGAGCTAACATATTCAGTGTTGCCCTCAACCCCAGTCAATATTTGTATAATATTTGAATATATTAAACCGGTGAATCCTGTGATAGAAATCAAATCATTAATCAAGATAATTTTTTTTCTCTGAATGGAGTTGTGATGGTAACTAAAAATACAGGTAGACTATTCTGTTAATTTTTTTAAGAATGCCACTTCACCTAAAGTTTTGGTCAGATTTCAATGAAACTTGGTACATAAGGAGACTATACATTAATTCTATACGGTAAAAGTTGGTTAGAAGGAATTAAGTCATAGGTACCTTGAATTTTGCTTCCTTAAAATGATATGTGAAGATAACAAACAGTTATCTTGCTCAAAAGTCCAATTAAACAATACATTGTATGGAGAGCAAACAGTCAGACCACTGCAAACATCAGAAATGGGATCAGGTGCCATGGAGAAGTAAGCATCCCCTGTTAACCAGTCACACCTGGCATGCCCTTTGTCATGATAGGGTAATCTAGTGATATACGTTCCAATCATTGATTATAATCAAAAATCAGTTGTTGGTACAGTTCAAGTGCTTGATTATAAAAAAAAAAAAATTCAATTGTATTTTTTATCAATGAGCATTAGATCTATTTTTTTGGAATGCAAGATTTTAGCTATGACTTACCTAATACCCTATAAAGGTGCTCAAAAATGGCAGCTTATTTACCAATGCTGGGTGCACCACATGATAATATATTGCCAAAATATAAGAGTCTAAATTTGTACATGATTTTTAGTATTTCTCTAGGTTGCACTGTTACCCTTACTTGTAAAGAATGAAAAGTTTACAAGGACAATTTATGTTTGTAACAAGAGCAGAAAAAGTTTTTCCACTGAATAAATTTTAGGTTTCCCTAATTAATACGATCTTTTCTCTTTCAATTGTTTATTAGGCGTCTTCATATGAGTGAAAAATTCTCGAGAGGGACGTGAAACAACATACAATCAATCAATCAATTGTTTATTATGAAATTTCTTGTTTTCTGATTATAATCCATAATTAGTTAGTTATAGAAAATCTAGCTATCTTCGATTAATTCAAATAAAATCCTTGCCATTTCTCACCACTGGGGTAGATGGAGAAAATTCAGTATGAAAATAATGGCCTAACAATTTGTGTGACAGATGTTAGTCAACATTGGACCTAATAACAGACAGTATTTGCAAACAAGGTCATGTATCAACCACAGAATTTGCGAAATGTTGACTTTTAATGAGATTATTGATACCTTTGTATCATCAACTTATTCTTTAAATGAGATTCTTTTTATATCCATATGAGGACTATTTTAAAAGTGAATTCTTTTCCCACTAGATTCAAAATTTAAAGTTTTCTTATAAGCAAGATTTCCATATAAGGAAATTCTTTGTAACTGATTTAATTGTATATATTCAGGTTCCTGATTTTTATGAATGCTGTTGCCATAGTAACAAAAAGTAGAATAAGCTCACTCAGTTAAATTCTTAAAATGCCATGCTTCTTTTAGTTTGGGTCTGATTTAAATAGAACTTGATACAAGGTTAGAAATCATCAAGATAGATATTAGTGTTAAAATGTAATGCTCACTGAAAAAGTGGTACAAGTCAAAAATGCAGCTTTTCACTCAGACTTCTCTCAGACTGTATTAGAGCTACAGTCTCATCAGAGATTTTTGCTATAGATAAAAAAAAAAGAGCATATCAAAGTTTTTTGATTGGTTTATCATCTGACTTCTTTTTAGACCTACTAAGGACTGTAAATGTACTTATTTTAGCTGTAATAGTAATTATATAAGTTATTTAAGTTATAAGTTATGATTTATGTCAGCTAATTTATATATATATATATATATATATATGATATAAACTAAATCTTGTCAATTTCAAGACTGAAATGCACTAGTTTATGATTGGGTTAATCAGCTAAAGATGAGGACTGCATTTAATTTTGAGTGCAGTAATATATGTACATTTATGGTATTTTGACATGGAGACTTAGTTTTAAGATTTCATCTTTACAGAAAATGGTGGAACAGTTACGCATTAAAGAAGAGAAGAGGGGCTTTGTAGGACAACCACTCAAGGTATGAATCCTAAAGACGGGGAAAAAGAAGGAGGGGGGTATTATTGTCATTCAAAGAATAAAACCAAGGGAATTCTAAGGGAATTGGTAATTAATGCCAATTAAATAACAAAATCGAGAGACTTAGTAGGAGTTGGTAATTATAAAGCCAATCAAATACTGAAAGCTCAAAACTTTTGAAAGAGGTGGAATTGTTATCATTAAATGTCATTTCTAGGCTCATTGATGTAATGGCATACATTTTCATTTGAATGCCGAAGAAAAAATTGTATTAGAATTTTAAGTTTAAATGTCAGTTAAGGAAATAATGAACATGACTGACAAGGAAATTAATCTTTTTATGAAATTCAGCATATTAAGGCCAAGGTTTTAGGTATAAAGATGGCCATTGTTATCACTTTAATAAAAGATAGCTATGAGCGTCAACCTCAGCACCAGCTTGTATATATAGCAAATTGAAAGTAAAATGTGAAAGACATTCCTCCAAATGAAATACTAAAATTCTGTTTGTGAAAATGAATTGATAAATTCTGATTGGGTAATGAATTACTGTGTAACTTTGTCCTGGTGTTGAGTCTAATCATGTTTCACTGTTCATAGTTTTTAAGTAGTACTGATTATTTCCCTTTTGTAGAGTGCTAGGAGGTCACATTCAGCCTTTGACCCAGAGGAGGTACAAAATTTGCATCCCCTTTATTGAATTGCATGTTTTTTCCCTAAATTTTGTATGCATGTTTTACTAAAATAAATTTGATTTTCAGTTTTAAGTTTTTCGAGACTGCAGATTTAATGCAGCATTCTTAAATTGTGTGAGGCTTGGGATATTTCTACTAAAATACAGGGAAACAGAATATAACAAATGTTGATGTAAATTTTTTCGGGCTCATATCATCTACTATAACGGACCCTGGGGAGCTTTTATGATCAAGGTTTTTCTGCCATGCATTCATCTGTAAACTTTTCACATTTGAAACATCTTTTCTCTATATAGAATCACTGGACCACTTTTCAACTAAACTTAGCACAAATATGCACAAAATACCAAAATGTATGTAAAATCTGTACTGTATTGCAAAGGTACAATTTACTCGAATCTAAATGAGAAATTGTTGTTTTTTGCATAATAAATGAGAAAAAAATAATCTGTGGATGACTTCCTCCCATGAACTCTTAGACTGCAATTTACAAGCATATTAAATGAACTGAGATTTCTTTTTTTTTTTAATTAGGGTATACACCAGGTAGGAAATTTAAAAAAAAATTAACAAAAAAGACTGTTGTTGTTTAAATCATGATTCCTCGTCCAGGATAAGTCCTAAAAATGGTTCTTAGGCATTGAAAATTAGTTTTTTTCAAAGTAGGAATTAAACGTAACTCAGGCAAGCATTGTGGCCTTTAGGTCTCTTCAAAAAAGAAAAAAAAACCTTTTTTCTTTTTCTTTTCCTTTTTTTTTTTTGGGGGGGGGGGGATAAGTTTGAGTCTTTTTTCAAGAACTCTATTTGTCAAATTAGTACTAATGTCCTAATAAAAAATGATACCTACCTCTGACATTTTCAATAAGAAGAATCCCTTCTATTGACTTAAAAAATATACCTGTACACAGTAATATTTTTCATCAGAATGCAGGAAGCTAGGTTATGTATAATAAGTTAAACTTTGTATTCATGGGGACAAATGCTGTAATAGAAAGTTATGTACAGCCTTAGATATTGTGCATAAGTACAACCAAATTATTTCTTATAGTTTATATACACACAGAATGCATTGCATTCAAAAATTATTTTTAAGAACATATAGGAGTTGAATATAAAAATTGCATTAGTTTTATTACCTTTAAATCGAAACATGAATATGATTGTAGATTATCCCCCTTTTTCATTAGAATCAATGGTGGTGGTGTGCATGAAGGGTTTTATTTGATATATAGTGAATTTAACACATTAACTTGAGTTTTATGACTTGTTTTTTTTTAAATTTTGATTTAAAAGCTTTAATTCGTTTGACATACTTTTTTTCATTCCCTAGTTCTTTCATCACAAGTTTATAGGTTTGTTATTTGCATGTTCATATATTGGTACTCTAAAGACCAAAAAAAAAATGAATCCACTCCATTAACATTGTATTCATCTGCAGTAGGATTCTGATTTTGCCCCACTATGAATTTATCTGAGATATATACATTGTAGTGTCCATCATGTCTCTGTCCTCCCAGCATATATATTTATCTGTTCCATTTTGCACTAGCTTACAGAGAAACTATTTTAGATATTTTCATCATACAATGATATATATTCGGTAATTCACATGCACCTCATTTTGTGACATTGACATTCTCTTTATCCTGGACCTCATTTTTCTGATTCTGTTTTTTATTCATTTTCCTGAATATTGTTAGAAATTCCCTTGTACGTCTTCATTCTAAATATATTTTGGTAAGAGTCCTTTCCCCACATGTGTTAGATGGACAATCTTAAAATAAGTGATTATTTTCAAATACCTCTGTTGTGTGTTGTTTACAGAGGAGGAAAGCCGTGGGGGCTCCCGAGATTCTCCCCCCAGCGGATATGAGCCCGAGGACTGCCGCAGCCAGAAAATGGGGCCCAGGAAAGGCAGTGGACAGGAACCATTTTTATGACCTCATCAAGTTAGTCCAAACTTACTCATAACATTATTAACAAAGTAAAAAGTCTTAAATTACATATACTAGTTCTTTAAGGTGCATAACAAATCATGTCCAAAATATAATTTTTTTAGAATTCAGAGAAAGATTCAGAAAAATTGTCAAAGTACTGTTTCATTCATCTTTGTTACACAATACATTTCACACTTGAAGTGCAAAAACTTCGAGATAACCGAGGGCTCGAGATATCTAGGGTAAAATACTTAAGAAATATGTGGTTAGGACTTCCCAGTCACTTCGACATATCCATGGTTTTCAAAATATTTATGTTCGAGATACCAAATTTCAACTGTAGTTAATCAAATGTTTTAAAGTAGGACAGCTGTGAAATATGGTTATAATTAATATCAAATTAAATCAAAGGAATGACCAATAGTTCATACAGTGTTACATGTAAAATAACATATTGTCCCTCTTTGCAGAACGAATCCCCGCAACTATACAGTGGTGGTAAATAACGGAGTGACACGATCAGAAAACCTGTCTGGACTGATGAGTTTTTCCATGGATCATCCGGACGGTATCCCGCAAATGGTGGACACTCTCGCTGAAGAGGTCAACAGAATCTCAGCAAAAGAAGAGGAGGCAGTAGGCCTGGAGGAATGTTTCAAGAAAGTCTGCAAGGTCAGCAAAAATAGGTCATAACAAGGTTATCAAAATAGCTAGGTCATGTCAAGGTCAGCAAAAATAAGTCATATCAATTAAGGGTAGAAAATATCATTTCAAGGACGGCAAAAATAGGTCATATCAAGGTTAGCAAAATAGCTAGACATAGCTAGACATTTCAAGGACAGCAAAAATAAGTATCACCAAGGACAACAAAAATAGGTCATATACCTGTTTCTTTTTCCTTGGTAAAATGTCCTTGGAAAATTTGTTCTACATAATAATCTTTTGTATATTTATGATTTAGATACAGAAAGACACACTTATGCATCATAACAAACACAAGTTTTTCTGGGAACTTTTATAATTAAATTTACAATAATATATAATGCAGGATGATTATGTCTCAGTAAAAAGCTTAGTGTGACTAAAGATTAACTTTTGTTAGAAATAAGAATGGTATGATGTATACCCATTCTGCACTGTATGCTGTTATCAGACTTATTTTTAATCCTTGGGTCAAATTTTTACTCAGAATACAGGTTGACTATGAAGTCGTCTTCTTGCAGGGTAATGTGGAATCCCTCCAGTCTTTATTTCCGTACAGGAAACAACATTCTAGTCTCCAAAGGGAACCATCCCAATTCAGCACAGGATTTACCGTCAGGTAACTATGCAACAATCTTATTCATAGAGACGCTTGTCAGGTAATTACCCCGGTACACAGCAATCTCATTCATAGAGACTCTTGTCTCTGTTTAAGTGAAAGACATGTATGTATAAGAATTAATTTTTTTGATTAAAAAATATTCATGTAAGAGAGGCCAGAGTTTTACATGTTGATGGTGCTAAAGAAAAATTGTCTGTTTATTTGTGTTGGATTTAACTGTGTCTTATTTTTTTTTTATGTCTTTGGATATTTTTGTATCAATAAATCGCCTTAACATTAAGTTTTCCTTCATTTATTAACAGCATTCTCTCCTCCGTCTCTAGGCAACCATACTCTTGTCCGATTCGACCCCCTAACACCCCCAAGACTAGACCTGGAACCTCCTCCACTATTAAGAGGGGTCACATCATGTATCGGAGTGCTAACTCAGCTCGCAGCATCTCTCTTAGCTTCACTCAACCTGTGTAGTAGAATCTTGGGCAATCGCCTTTGTAGTAGTTAGTTTGTCGTGTGAATAAGAGTTACTTCCCTTTGACCATATCTATAAGCTGAACACCATTTTTATGATCATTTCATTATTTTGGCATTTTCTTCATCAAGTTGTCATCACAGAGGCATCCAGTGAAATCAATTCCAGGTAACTCGGTCTGTGATTGGTGTTTGGTGTGCACAAGCTTTGTTGTTATGGTTACAGGTCTGCACAGTCCAATGGTAGCAGAGCCCTATAGGTGACTAGTGCTGACTATGCGCACACTGTTTTGGATGAATTTTTTTTTTTTAAAAATTACCAACAGGTGGTGGGGAGGCATAGAAATACATCATGTTCCTTTCTTGTCATCTGGTTCTCAATGGAGGGGATGGGTTTTTTTCGTTTGTTTTGATATTCTAGATTAGGAATATGAATCTGAATTCTCTAGGTTTCTCATGATTAATTACCAATTATGTTTAAATATAGGTATATTGTACTCATGATGTAAAAAAAAAATGTTGAAAGCTTTTATCATACACTTGAAAAGTGATTTTAAATTGCTTGTAACATTTTTACATTTCCTCTATTTTGACATAAATATCCACAACAAACTGATAAAAGCTTCCAAATCAGTAATCTATAATCTACAGGTATTGTATATAATTATTATATAATTGAATTTTGATTTTTTTTTCTATATCTCTTATGTATTTTTTTTGCAGGAGTTATAGAAATCCAAACCAAGCAGAAATCATGGCCAACTTTTCTGAGGGTAATTCACAGCGTCCCCGCACAGTGCCTGTCGACTCTACACATAATCGCCCGATTGTTCCTAGTCCATATTTCTTCCGTCACTATAACAACCCTTACAATAAGCTTAATACTAGTGCCTCTAGTGCCAAGTCTCGCAAGTCTGCTCCCTCTCACATCAATTTTGATGGTAAGTATAAATTTAAAAAAAAAATACAAAATTTAAAATGTCATTCAGTAGTGTTTAAAATACATCAAATCCATGGTGACTATTCTTACCCTGAGGAGCAAGACTGTTCGTGAGTTTCTGGTGATGCCTAAAGTATAAATGAACATATTATGACAACAAACATGTATTTTGTATATTTCTACATACATGTATTCTGTATTTTTGTTGGTTGTGCAGATGTATGTCATCCATCAGTTGTAAACTTTTGAATATTTCAGTTTCTTCCTTGAACTGCAGAGCAATGTCAACCAATTTTAGTTTATTGCATCTATGAGTAAAGGGGAACCAAAATTATAAATTTCATGGTCTCTGCCTCCCTGGGGCTTAAGGAGTGTGGGCAAAATCAATGTAATCTTCAAAATTCTTCTTTACTCCTGGACATCAAGCTGGTCATATATTGAAATTAATTACAGCAAAACATTCTTATAACGAAGTGCTTGGGACTGATGATTTTTCTTCGTTATAAGCATAATTCGTTATATCCGTTAAATTATAACATATTTTAAAGTCACGGGAAATGAAAATGACTTTGTTTTAAGGGTCAATTCATTATAAGCATGTTCGCTATAAGCTTGTTTTACTGTATACAATGTACCTTATTTTCTTTACTCCTGAACTTACAAGAGACAAGTTGCATGAATATGATAATGATTATTGAGTCCTCACCAAGCTTTTAAATATTGTCTTAGTCAGGAGTTCCAGTTCCAGATGGGGCCAAAGTTATCTTATCCTAAGACAATTCATGATACTCAGGTGACCATCAAGGTCTACTCAGGTGACCATCAAGGTCCATAGGTCTCAATCTCTCAGGTTTTATAGCTTCAACAGTCTTTGAATGAAGGGGTGGTGGAATCAACATAAATTAATTTTTGAAACCTAGATCTTCTAATGGAATCTGAAATTGTGTATAGTTTCTGTTTATTACACAGTCCTAATGAATAAATTTGCTAATGGGACACACAAAATCTTGAAACTTCTGTGAGAAAGTTAAGACCATATTCTCAGGGCTATGGCACTGCTTGTCAATGAACTATAACAGATGAGAACAAGAGTTGATGAGGAGGTCAAAGCAGTGATGAAGAGTTTATAGGAAACATGTGCTTATAAGGGGCTAATAATGTCATTTACCTCAGGCCATCTGTCATCCAGGAGAGTCAGAGAAAGCTGGTTAATCAGGATAAATTTTCTATTCAGAGAAGAAAAAATCCCAGAACTATATAATCATTAATAGTCCAATATATCTTAACTGACCTGAGAAAGACATGGATACACATTGTACAAGCAGGTGTCATTGACTGCATGAACTATATGTACTCACTATATAAAAAGGGCTAGATACAAGGAGGCTACATGTAGGTATGGGAAGGGGGGTGGGTGGGAGAATAGTACATGTACCCAATTTTGCTCTGAAACAAAACTGAGAGTTTATTTCTCTAGAGATTTGAAAATGAAAAGTGCCAACACCCACGGGCAATTCCAGCTATTACTATGACTTTAAACTTATATATTAATTCATTCAAAACATGTGTTGTACATGTACTGGTAATTATTATTCATGTACATTGTACATGTATTTAAAGATTCAGATTAGATGTAGTGACTAGTCATGTGATAGTCATGTGATAGCACATGTTTGTCATGTGGTGAATTGTAATTGCATGCTTATGCAGCTCTAGCATGATTTAGAACAAAGTTTTACATTCTGCATGGTGTTTGTGATTTAACATATCAGTGCCCCTTTGTGTGTATGTGTTTTTTTTTTTTGATTTTTTTTTGTGTGAACTTTACACATGTACTGCTTTATGATATTCAGAATCCCAATTTTTATCAGCTATATATATGTATAGGAAACAATGGAGTTAATTATATATATTCATTATTTTTTTTTTAAACAGAATTAAAAGCAGATAAGTAAAACTTGCCATCCACAAAGAATTGTAGTTCTAGTTTGAATAACCTTAACCCTTGCTTTTCTGAAGTCCAGTAACATTGTAGGACAAAAGATTTGATATTTACAATGGGAGAGCAAAATCGGGGGGGGGGGGGGGGGGGGAACTTTGGGAGATGAAAACAGGAGGAGATAACTCTTACCACTTCTAATTGAATCAGTTTGTGATTGAATTGAAATGCGCCACCCAAAAAAATTTTAGTACCGGTAGACAAGAAAGAGCTATTTTAGTTTATAATTTTGCTATTTTTAAAGTTTATTACTTGGAGCTTTGGGGGTTCAGCCTCTACAATATGGTGGCTGCACAATTTTTATGATGTGGGATGCAAAGTATAATCATGTTACCCTTCCCATTTGTATAATTAATGTTTTGGTATATTATCTCCACTACTTTTTAGGTACAAGCAAACACTCCTATATCTATAAAGCGTGTTATATAACCTGATATCATCTTTAGTTATATTGCTTTCATCTTTCTTATATATATGTACAGGAAATGGTAGATATAATCAACCTATGTTATCTGATACGAATTAATTTTTTTTCATTTTCCTCAGCGATACTAAAACAATCTTGTTCATGGGAATGGCATGAACTCTTTAATGGTGATTGCTTTTTACTTTGGAGATACAGCCACCAGCCCATTCTAATCTAGCAGCATTGCTTCTGCATGGCATAATGCTTCTGTTTCCAAAATGTCACGAATTGTGGAGATTTCCCGTCTCCCTCTCTGGCTAATCTCAGCATCAATTTGAAGGGGATTCTGTCTCCATTTCCTCCCATCTTTTGTGGGGAGATATAAGGGGAAGGGTTTGGATTTATTCTTGAATTAGAGAACTAATACAAGATCACGAAAGAGTAGAAAATAATTAGAGATGAGTAGTGGATAGGATGATTCCAATGGTGTTTGACAATTAATATATGTATGCACACGCATGCAGTAGCCCTCCAAATAAAAAAAAGAAAATATCCTTTTATTATGTGATAAATGATTACTATTAATATAGATATAATTCTGTACTTCATATCCATAAATTTCAGGTAAGATATGATAACAGGTTAATTAGATTAATTAATTGATATTTTTATCCCCATTAAATGTGCATGTTTGTTTTAAAAATACCATGTGGCAATATGTCATATGTAAGGTCTTTTCAAATATTAATTGTGGACTTGATATTTAATATTTGTTTTCTGATGACCTTTTAGGTCAGTTATCTTCAGTTCCTGGAACATCACGCATGGCTGCACTTCCTGGCGCAGGTGCCCTGTCACGGTCCCTGAAATCTCGATCTGCGGCCTGGAGTGAAAGTGACTTCAAGCTTCACGGAAAGCTACACGTAAGTGTCCATGTAAATCATCAAAGCATTTTACAGCCGTACATATTAGCATTGTCACTGTGTCTTAATATATCTATAGCTATAATTTAGATGATTCCCACTTACTTAACATAGATGTGACATAAGAATATTTATTTTGTAGCTTTCATAAATATTTTCAGTTTTAAATTAAATATATGTACTAACCTCTGTTTTTTGTTGTTTTTTTTTTTGGTCAAACTATAGTAGTTTAGAGATGTTATTTATACATGTAAAATATTAAGGTTCATCACCCCTTTGCTCACTCTTATAAAACATTTCCTTTATGCTTATGACTTTCCAAAAGAAATATAATTATAATCAAAATACACACCATACCTTATGGGGCAAAATTTGACAGGAATGGCCCTTGATCTTGACGATTTTTTTTTAAAGAGATAGTCATTTATTCCAGTGAGAGTTACCTCTCTTATCAGAGGGTCAATGAACCTTAAATTGAATGATAGGTGTTAGGAATTTCTTGTAAAACTTCATTTAAAACTAGCTTACTGATACCTCTGATTCAGATGTAGAAAACAAATGCACTGGTAAAGGTTTCATTACCTAGAACCTTCAGCAAAAAAGTAAGGCAAGCTAAATAAAAACAGATACATCGATCTATTAAGTATTAGTGACAATTTTTGTTTTGAAGATTATACACAGTTTTAGAAAATGAAGATCATTGTCCTTGATTACACATATTTGCATACTTTTTGTATGGATTGAAGTCAATATTCTAATCTTTCTCTACTTACAATCAGCAGTATATATGTAACTGTGCTTGTGGGCCTTTTTCTTACAGCCTCTCATACATCAGCTATTTATCTACATACTAGGATATGTGTGAGTGAAATATTACTTAAAAAATACTGCATGCTGCATGACAGGGCATTATTTCTCATTTATCAATGTTCACAATCTACAATTTGGTTTCTTCTAAAAATAAGTACTCTCTTTAATAATATTTTTTTGCCTTATTTTATTCCCCCCTTTTTGCAGGTCACTATTTTTATCATGATTGGATGTAATTGGGAGCTTTATGATGTGTTGTAGAATGTTGCCAATTACATACAAATTGAGACCTGTTATTTTGGCCAGTATACTAGTATAGGTCTGCAATAACCCAGAGCTGCAAAAGCACCAAGTAATGGATAGTTTGCTTAACATTTATTTGCCAACCGAACTAAAAAAGAGATTTTTACCTGCAATCATGGATAATAAAGTAATTGGTGCCATGTTCCGAGCGGATGATGATAGAGTCAATCAGAATATGTGTGGATCGACTATTAGGTGTGAAAAGGGGTCAAGACAAAAATAAAATCATTTATCTTGATGAATTGATACTAATGAAAACTTCTTGTAATATGAGAAAAAGGGCTATTTGTTGCTGAATAGACAAACATTAGATTCTTGATCTAGATAAAAATGCAAAGATAATCACCTATTTTTCTCCAATCCCGATCAAGTAAACATGTTAAGACAGGTTGGCAATGTTCTGTCAATACTTCATTGATTGGCCCCTTGGTCCACTTATCTCAAACTTAAGACCAGAAGATCACCAAGCACCAGAGCCATATTAGGACATTGTAAAAAAAAAAAAAATCACTGATCTTAATAACAAGGTCATAAATATGAATAACATCTGCTTTATTGGGGTTTTTATTATGTTCTCAACCTTTTATTAATTCCTACTCTCATACTGTAAAATTGTCCCAAATACTTTTTTTCCACCAGCTTGCTTTATTTGTTACCACAGATACATGTAATTACCATACTAGCAGATTTTATAGATTCATTCATCAGAAAATGGAGGGGTTGTTTTGAAATCATATTTAGTCTAACTTGCCCAGTTAATAATATATTTATGTTTGGGGAGGCTAAAGGGAATTAACCCCCCCTTCCAAATTAAAAAATGAAATGACTTTCATCTTTTTTTAAATGGTACAAATTTAAACTATCTTAGCTTATTAAAGTGTGTTGACATGTTTGAAGACTATGGTAATCATGAAATTCCCTGTTTACTGTACCGCACATTAGGGATGCATGATTTCATCGGTATACCAGTATATCACAATTTTTTATTGTGTGATACGTATCGTGATATGGAGACAAAAATACTGGTACAATGTATTTGGAACATAACTATAAATTCCAGAAATTAGTCATTTATTTGTTCAATCTATTGAAAGACAATTACAAGAAGGATAAAAAATGTTGAAAACAGTTAAACAAAGGCATCCAAACATGCTTTATATTAAATAATTAAGAAATTAAAAAGTAAAGTTATGTTTTTAAAGCATATTTTTAAGAAATATTATGAAAATTCATTTGAAATTGTAGTAAAAATTGTGTGTAAAAATATCAGACACGATTTATCCTGATATTTTTGGCAAAAAATCGTGATATATCACGATACGAAATTTTTAGGTCACCTGAGTCACTCAGGTGACCTATTGCTATCTGTTTTCGTCCGTCGTTGTGCGTCGTCCGTCGTGCGTCGGTCGTAAACTTTTGAACATTTTCAGCTTCTTCTCTTGAACCATTGAACCAATTTCAACCAATTTTGGCATATAGCATCAATGGGTGAAGGGGTACAAAAATTGTGAATTTCATTGTCCCTGCCCCCCTGGGGCCTGAGGGGTGGGGTTAAAACCATCAAAATTAGTGCTATCTTTAAAAATCTTCTTCTTTACTCCTGGACATCAAGCTGTAAAACTGTTGGCATGATTGTAATAAGCATTGAGCCCTCTACCAAATTGTGAAATTCATAGCCCAAAGGTCAGGGGTTCTGGTGCTAGGGTGGGGTTATATAGATCATATAGTGAAAATGCATTATTTCTTTGAAAATCTTCTTCTCTACTCCTGAGTATTATTGAAACAAATTGAATACATAGTTATGATAAGCAAGGGTGACTCTACCAAAATTTTGAAATTCATAGTCCCAGGGTCAGGGGTTCTGGTGCTAGGGTGGGGCTATATAGATCATATAGTGAAAGTGCATTATTTCTTTGAAAATCTTCTTCTCTACTCCTGGGTATTATTTAAACAAAGTAAATACATAGTTATGATAAGCAAGAGTGACTCTACCAAAATTGTGAAATTCATAGCCCCAGGGTCAGGGGTTCTGGTGCTAGGGTGGGGCTATATAGATCATATAGTGAAAATGCATTATTTCTTTGAAAATCTTCTTCTCTACTCCTGGGTATCATTGAAACAAAGTAAATACATAGTTATGATAAGCAAGAGTGACTCTACCAAAATTTTGAAATTCATAGCCCCAAGGTCAGGGGTTCTGGTGCTAGGGTGGGGCTATATAGATCATATAGTGAAAGTGCATTATTTCTTTTAAAATCTTCTTCTCTACTCCTGGGTATTATTTAAACAAATTAAATACATAGTTATGATAAGCTAGAGTGACTCTACCGAAATTATGAAATTCATGGCCCCAGGGTCGGGTTCTGGTGCTAGGGCGGGGCTATATAGATCATATAGTGAAAGTGCATTATTTCTTTGAAAATCTTCTTCTCTACTCCTGGGTATTATTGAAACAAATTAAATACATAGTTATGATAAGCAAGAGTGACTCTACCAAAATTGTGAAATTCATAGCCCCAGGGTCAGGGGTTCTGGTGCTAGGGTGGGGCTATATAGATCATACAGTGAAAATGCATTATTTCTTTGAAAATCTTCTTCTCTACTCCTGGGTATTACTTAAACAAATTAAATACATAGTTATGATAAGCAAGGATGCCTCTTCCAAAATTGTGAATTTCATGTCAGGGGTTCTGGTGCTAGGGTGGGGCTATATAGATCATATAGTGAAAGTGCATTATTTCTTTGAAAATCTTCTTCTCTACTCCTGGGTATTATTTAAACAAATTAAATACATAGTTGTGATAAGCAAGGATGCCTCTTCCCAAATTTTTAATTTCATAGCCCCAGGGCCAAGGGTTCTGGTGAAAGGGGGGGGGGGGTTCTATTGATTATATAGTGAAAAGCAAAATTTCTTTGAAAATATTCTTTTCTGCTCCTGGTTAAAAAGCAAAGAAGCTAAATGTAAAGTTATGATGAGCAAGAGTGTTTCTTCCAGAGTAGTGAATTGCATGACCCCTGGGTCAGATATGCTGGTGTAAGGGTGGGGCTCTTGATAATATAGTGAAAATACATTAATTCTTTTAAATAATCCTGTCTGCTCTTAGTGTTAAGCAGATAAACAAAGTGATAACTTATGATGAGCAAACTTCTGGTCCAGGGTGAGAGGCTCTGGTGTTTCTCGCTTGGGAGGGGGGGGGGGGGGAGGGCTCTATTGATAATATAGTGAATCTGTACTAAAAATGCATTATTTCTTTAAAAATCGTCTCTGCACCTGGGCATATCAATCAGAGGCAAAAAGAGTCAAAGTTTTAATAAGGAAGAGAATTTTTACCAGATTTTTGAACATCTGGACCATTTGGTCAAGTGTTCTCGTCCTGGCCAGGGCTCTATTCATTTGTATTATACTGAAAGGAGTTATTCCCCTTTGCCGTTTACTTTTGATAATTAATCACTGTAAATAATGTACTTGAAAGCTTAATAGAATAAGAGAATTATGCAAGAATTTTTATTGTATAATACAAAAAGTACTTTCATAGTTTTAATGTTCAGGTAGACTTGTAAGTAATAGATAAATAAAAATGAGACAAAAATAACTTGTCTTTTTAAATGTTCATCAAAGACCAAGACAGGCCAGTGTAAGAGATTTCAACAAGGAATTAAAATAGTACAGAAGCACTGATTAGTTTGTTAATATACTGTATGGTGATAGTGATAAATGGGGAACAGAATAGAACCTAATTTACAAACTGTTAATGAATACTAGACTAATTATTTGTTGATCCTGATTACCCTATTTTTCTTGCTTTTGGGCAACATTAAACTTCACCTTTCAGTTCATTTTATACTCTATGCATCCTTTAAATTGTTGCATCATACTCAGGTGACCGTTAAGGCCCTTGGGCCTCTTGTTGCTGATACCCATCCCTACTGCACATGTAACAGCATCATTGGTAAAATATTCAAATCATTTTTACAAACAGTATGGCCCAGAGTTATACCTATAGATAGAGGAAGTATTTCTAATGGTTCTATTGATCTTAACACAAAAGTTTCCAGTTAACAAACTTGAGAAGCATTAAACTATGCTCACAAGATTGGAGAAGGTCATATTGTATTTCTAGAGTCTGTTGATGTCCATATTAACCGTATATAACCATTACTTTTTGAAATCTAGAAGATTGAGACTTAATTTTGAAAGCTCATGGTCAAGATTTTAGGGTTTATTTTCATACCTAGATTTTAATTAAGGGTTAAATTCCAAACTTGCATCCTTGGTTACCACTAGGGAAATTCACAAACAAATCTTGGTTTTTCTAGTAGGATGGAAGCATGGGTGTTTTATTTTGGGAAAAGAAATTGAAAATTTTTGGCCCTTTTTAATGATGAAATCAAATGATTGCTTTTTCTCTCAGTAAGTGCATACTAATAAGAAGATTGCAAAATGATATTTGTATAAATTTAAATTTTTTGAAATGAGTAATTTTATTTATGTGTGAATAATGGGAGTCAAAAATGATCAACACATGAAAATATTATTACATACAATTTGGTATTTTACTTCAAAAAAAGTATTGAGAGAGGACATGACTTATGCATGAATTTCATGTTTTTTGCATGGGAAAAAGTTGGTACAAAAATTTGATGAGTTTTATTTCCACAAATTGTTTCAAGAGTTGGTCAATTTTTATGTTAGAGAGAGAGAAAAGTGAGTGAATAAACGAGAGAGAGAGAGAATTCCTAATTTGAATTTTGAAATTCAACAAATACTGTAAGCATACATAAATTAGCACTCTCAAAATTTAGCGCAGTCTCCTTCTTTCTCTTCAACTTGTTAGTGCAATCAAATCAGCACACTTGATTCTTGCAAAATGACATGAATTAATTAGTTTGAATCATGTATAATTAGTGTGTATATTTAAGTATTAGTGGACATGAAGCAGATCAGAAGGGGCTGAAATTTGATAACTGCTAAAATAAGAACATTTACAGTAATAACTCATTTATGAACTGACAATCAGTGAATTATGAAGATACCAGTACTGTTGGCAGATAATTATTATTTTTTGAGTTTTTTTGTCAGACACCTGACTATTTTGTACTGTTATTTTAGGGTACTCCGAGAGAAATTCTGCCAAGACCAGAAGAGAATAGTGTTATGGAGTCTGTGGTTAGAGGTAGGTACATCTGTACAGTAAAATATTAGTCATAAAATGGAGAGATGTTACTTCCAGGAAGCAGGACTAATTAAAAATTTCCATATAAAGTAAACAGAGTTTAAGAGAAGTGGGTTACAATTACTGTTCAGTGTTAGCAATGTTACATTGAATTCATTTCCTCTGAAGTACAAATTAACAGAATGATAATTACAGCAGTTTTAAATTAGGAAGAGGACTGAAATTTAAGAGGCATTTTTGCCTGCTGTCAATCCTGTTTTGTTTGAAAATAAATATTGTTTAAATTAAATTAAATATGTTAAATTGCAATGTCAGGCAAGTTACTTGTCTTTAGAAATGATACAAATAACAATTATACAATAAGTATACAGAAACTGACAATGTATCTGCATATATTTTTCAATTAAATTCAAAACAAATTTGATGAAGCACCCTATTGAATTGTATAAAACTGATGCATGAGTACTCTGAGTTCTTTGATTATGCCATCTTAATTGTAATGGCATTTCATCTGGTTGGACTGTAAACGAATTTAAATTTTGTTTTGTATTCATTGTTTACGTCAAGTCTGTCAGACAGTTAGTGAAAAGGAAAACAGAATTCCTATTAAAAAACTAAGTCAATTTTAGATTCTTGTGGATATAGATTTGGAAGTAAATACAGAATTCTTGCAAGTAAAGTACTGGTTCTAAAAAATCCTATTCTTATATATATAAACACGGCATTATGAAAATGAAAGCCATAAAGTTAAAAAATTAAGAAGTTGTAAATTTGAGTTTTGAAGTTCCAAAAGGAATTTTTCTTTAATTCTGGTACAGATTCGGAAAAGTAAAAATAAAAAAATCTCTATTTCTTAGATTTCAGAAACCCTATAAGAAAATGATAGATTCTGGTGTTGGATAAAAACGTCTTTAAGAGTTCAGATCTATAAGAGGGTTCTGTAAAGTGTTTTTGTCATAAATAACTTAAGTAGCCAAATCAATTTTCTTGGTAATTTATAAGGGAACTTAACTAAGATTTCTTTTTGCTATGGAAACATGTATTTATGTTTTTGAATTGGCCAATTCATAATCAATTATTATTACAATCTGTTAGAAAACATTCTCTAATTATTAAAAAATGAACTATGGAAAATGATGTGAATAAGAGTTTTTTTACATTGAAATTTTGCTGTTTGTATATATTCCTGTTATGTCAGACAAAGATAATGAAACAATTAATACATATACTCCATTGACTTATGTAACAATGAATATACATAATCTTAACAATATTGACTTGTGTCCTCATTATTATACTAATGATGTATATTTACTTCATTATAATGGTAATATGAACCTCCATCCACAATGTTGAACATTACTTGGAGGAGTTCTATAGATTTTGCTAGGTTGTGCTGGAATCTCTCCATCTGCAGAAAACAAAGCAATTTGCATTCTTAAAACATGATAATTTTTTAAAATTTTGCAAATCACTGCAGCTAATTTCGGTGTAATAAGATTAAGTCGATGATGATCTAGATGTTATTGATGAGGATTCGTACAGTTCTGTGAAATGCTACACTGTGCGTTATAAATCTGGATCAATAACATGTTATAAGACAGCGATAGTGAGATAGATAGATTTGTGTGATGGCTAGTCTCGCACTGTCTTAGCTCGGGGATGTCCATGTAAGTAGAAATCTTTCATGTAAATCAGAATTAATTCTGGCAATTTATTTCTTAAATTGGAATCTGAAAAAAAAAATTAAGATTATATTAAAACCATGCACTTTTTGTTTTTGTTTATATAAATTAATTTTCGTGGCTTGTAAATTTTATTTGTTGATTTTTCTTCTAAAATTTTTGCTTTCATCTTACATCTCATCTGGCTTTTAAATATTTTTTGGGTAGTATTTTTTTTTGCTTTAAATAAAACAAATATTGCTCAAACTTCTGATTCAAAGCAAGTCTTTAACTGTGTACCAATTTTTGAACACTAAACAAGGATTTTTTTTTTTTTTTCGATTACATGAACTGTGCATGGCACTTTTTCATTTAATTGCTTCATTTAAATGCAAATGAAAGTAATTAGAAAAAACAGGGCAAATTATTTTTCAAGACATCCTAAAAGAAGGTTGTATGCCCAGAATACAGATTAAAATCATGTGACTAATTGTTTGTGAATTTTAAAGTGGTGAATATGAGATGAGAGAGATGGTATTGCAGAAAAACTGTTAAGATTTATAACAAAGACCTGTGGCTTCTTGTTCGTGATGCAGAAAAGAATATTTGCAAAAATAAAAATGTATGTGGCATCGGAATATCAGATGGACTGTTTTAGTATTGATTGCAAGCCATTTAAGTTTATTTTTAGAGCCAGAAATAAGTCTAACCATATAAAAGATAATAATCATTGGACATTTCTGATCTGAAGCCCTGACATCCTTTCATCTGGAATTATTAATAGTACTAAGGATTAAACCATTAATTTTTTTTTTAGAGAATGAAAATCAAATTATAAGTCACCAAGTTATAGAAATGCATGTAATTAATATTTATTACCCTGATTTTCTGAAGAGAATTACAAAGATCTTAGATAATCTTATGTAATAGAAACGCTGGGATATTACGTACCTTGCTATAAACCTAAAGCTTTAAAGTTACATCTTATTAATTAAGTCAGGTGATTTGTCGTGAACTATAACCAGGGGTCTCTTGCTGATACCTAATTTTTCTGAATTAGTATCATATTTTACCACTTTGTGAGAAACAGTGTATGAGAATTAGTAAGGTATGTTTTTATTTATTGATGAATATTGTACAAGTGCATGATGGCAAATTTTGGATGTAAATTTCTTAACTAACTTGAAAAAGAGGGTTTAGCTAATTGGTATAATAATTTTTCTAAAACTCTGAATTTTATGTTTTCATATGATCAGTGCATGCATCTGGAAATCTTGTTTCTTTAAGTACAAAGAAAAAATGTGTCCTAAATGTCTAAATATTTTGGATTTTTGTTAATTATGTTAAGGGTATTGAAATTTCATTTGTCTTTCTTTTTCTGCATTTGTTAAGATCATTCTCTGTGTTTAAATACACATTATTTTCATAGACTGTTTTTTTTTTGTTTGCTCTGTAAAGCACAAGATTTGGCACACCTAAGACAGACAATATTCATACAAAAAGTGCTTGCCTTTCAATCCAGTTAATGTGTGGTATAAAGTTGTCTGTCAAACGAGAACATGAACTTTGATGTTTTTCTGTCCAAGGGCTTCAATTCACGTATACTTTATTTATAGGAGGGAAAAACCCAAAATAGACTTGGCTTAATGTATCTTTGCCCAGGGTTGTGAAAATATCTGACTGTTATTTTTATATATGGATAGGTGTAGAAAGGCACTCCGTTGATATTTAAGAGAAAGTCTTAATGTAGAAATAAGCTTATTTTAAAGTGGTAAGTTGACATTATGTTCTTTTTTATTTTTTCTGGTGTGATGTACAGATATATTGAAGCATCGTATAAAACCCCGTTGTTTTTCTTTAAAGTGCATTATGTTTCTGCACACTAAAGCACTGAATTATTGTCTTAGTTTAAAATAAGTTTATTATTCTAGTAAAAATTATGACATTAACAGATTAATTCTTTAGAATTTGCATAAAACTTTAAAAGAAATAAATAAAAAGGCAAGAAAAAAAAAATTTCTCAAACAGGTTCATCTTTTTTTTTAATTGAATCAAGGAAATTAATTGAGATAAGATTTATCTCCCCTTTAAGAGGAACATTGCATGTTAGGGTATATTCTATGTAAAATTATGCAAAAAATAATCATAATTGTGGGGATTTCTTTTTTAATAATGAATGGTATTGATTGTGCAGATTTTCAGTGTAATGAAATAAAAATCTTAACATAAAGGCATATTGCACCAGAATGTTTTAAAAAGTTATTTCCCTAGGGAAATTGAGTATGGTAAATGGTTTATTTTCAGTTTCATAAAACTATATCTCTGAATCTTCATTGTAGAACATAGTTTTATTACAATAATTACCCAAACGTTTCGTAACTTTCATATATAAAGTGCACTGGAGATGTTAAAGATTTGAATTTTTATAACAATTAAGCAAAACAGTATGATAGGTTAAAGTGACCTAGAATTTTTGATAAATTTTATGCGAATTTTGATAAATTTTATGTGATATCTATTGGAATAAAGTAAATCTGAAATGCAAGTTATATTTAACTAATATATTTTTCACAGGTGCCACAATAAAAGGAAACATTGGTTCAAGTAGGTACATCTGCCCCCCTGCTGGTTTCTATCTCTAATTAGCTGTCATCTTCTCACCTTCTGTAGATTATATCCTCTCTTGTAGAGAAATATGAGTTTGTGTAAATTCAGTTTTACTCATGCAGTCTTATTTATACCCATTTCTTCTACATACTGTTACTTTCAGCATAAAGAAAATGAATATATTACCTAGAGTAATGAAGTACATTCTCTCCAAGAAAATACTCTTCTCCTGACCAGCTTTGCAATGACTGTGTTATAATTTTGATTCAACAATTCTTTCTTAATAATTCGTACAACTGCCAGGATGTAAGTGCTAAATCAGACTTGGAATATAAAGTTCTAGTTCTGCCCCCCCCCCCCCCCCACCACCACATGCATTTTCTAAAGTAATTATAGGGATTATCAGATAATATAGAGGATCATTAGGAGAATTAGAATCAGGTGTTGTTTTTTTTTCTTTAATATAAATTTATGCAGCTTATAATCTTTTTATCAATAGAATGTATTAATTATATCTACTGTATAATGTATGTAGAATTTGTGCAGATAAATTGTTAGTGTCAAAAAGTTTAAAGCCACTTCAGTTTCTCTCTATGTAACTGTTTTCCCCCTATCTTGCTTTGTTTTTTTTTTTAAACAAATCATTGCTGCTGTATCTACCACAGAGTAGTCTAACTACACTTTTAAAATTAAAGCACCATGACAGTCGTTGTTAAATAATAGATTAAT